GTTCAAAAAAATAACAAAATTTTGAAAAATCCCGCAATTTGCTAGAAAATTTATTGGCTTCACTAATCGACTTGTGTTGTGTAGTCCTCCCAAAATTCATAAGCTATAACAATAATTGGAAGCATCAAAGAAAACTTTGAGAGGCATTGGTCAATGCCACTCCCCATCGGTTAAAAATTTTTTGCTTACCCCTTTCCTTCCTTGGCGCAACAATTCCTTTCTCCAACTGCTCGTAATTTTCTTTCAAAAGTTTGCCCAAAAATTTCTAATTTCAGTGTTTACCAATGAGAAAGGAGGCATCAAAGACGATCTGATTGTCACAAAAACTGACCAAGATTATATCTATATGGTGACAAATGCAGGCTGTATTGATAAAGATCTTCCTTATTTGCAGGTACAAATTTGAGTCATTCAGAATTTATTTTTGGATTAGATATATGATTTCAGGAAAATGCAAAAAAGTGGAGGTCTGAAGGAAAAGATGTACAAGTCAAAGTGCTCGAAGATAGGGGTTTGGTTGCTGTACAAGGTGTCTACCCGATAGGAATTGACCATTCGAATATATTTTTCTACTTTTATAATTCAGGACCTGAAATGTCCAAAGTATTGCAACCTGAGACGGACGTTGACCTTAGCAAATTGACATTCATGACAACAGCCATCGGCAAAGTCTTCGGCATACCAAATTGTAGAGTTACCCGATGTGGTTACACAGGGGAAGATGGTGTCGAGGTAAGGTGACTTAGTCCTGACCTGACTTCACTCATAAAAAATTTACTGCTTTCAGATTTCCGTACCAGCCAAGGATGCTGTTACTTTAACGGAGAGACTTCTCCAATCTAAGGTAGCCAGCGATGTTAATTTGTACTCACTTCGAAGTGAAGTATTACAGAACGGCGTGGTAAAGTTAGCCGGGTTGGGAGCTCGAGATGCACTGCGAATGGAAGCTGGTTTATGTCTTTACGGAAACGATATCGATGAGAACACAACACCAGCAGAAGCCGGACTTGCATTTGTCGTGGGTTAGTGTGTCTTTGCTGAATTGATTATCCTTTACTTTTCGAATTTAATTCTATGGTCCGTAAATTCTACTGCACCTGAAAGCTCTAACCTGCATTCTGCACTAAATTGTCATTTTTCAAATGAGCTCAGGATTTTTTACTGTCTCGATATTTCGTTTGAGAATTTGATTTTTTT